TGTGAAGTCTGCTTTATCTTCTTGGAAGACCATCATTTATAGTTACACCTGGTCAAGGTGACTTGTGAAGCTAACTTTGTTTGCTTATTTGGAGAGGCACATTGCAGCATTGAGTCCAGAGTCCAGGTTTGCCATTTTCATAGAAAGGCAGCATAGTGTTGTGGTGAAGAGCCCAGACTCAGGTTTAAAGCCATACATCCACCGCTTACCAGCCGTGTGACTTTGGAAAGGCCATTTAACTTCTGTGACTTATCTGTATAATGGGGACGATAAGGTTATTACTATTATTGAGGTTGAGCTGCTCATAGCACTGCCTGGAACATCATGTTTGTCCCTTTGTTATGATATCTTTATTCCATTCCCTTATACAGATTGTGTCTTCAGGGTGCTAAGTAGGCAAAAATCTTCTAGAATTCTATCATGGACTTACAATAAAGCAAAACCACTTAAGGATTGTAGCATTAAGGCAGTATAGGCAGTCCCTCCTTGTTTCACTCATTGTGCCTCTCTGCAAACATGGAGCCCTTCTTGCTTCTGAGAGGGAGCAGCACTAAGAAGTAAACAGATCTGTTGGTGCTAAGACAGGGAGGTCTGTGTATGAGATGTGATCAGAAAATACAGTGGATATTTAATTTTTTAAAAAAATTAATTATAGTAAAATATATATTGCCCATTAACACTGGTGGTACATGCATGACTGTCCCATCAGGCAGCTTGGGACAGTCCCATTGGGTGGTATAAGCTACCCAATAGGATAGTCCATGCATGTACAGTTGGTGGTATAAGTCATGCATGGGACAGTCATGCATGTCAGACCTGTCATGAAGGTGTTAATCTCCCTCAAAATACTCTCCTCACTTTGAACACACTTATCCCAACACACTTCAAACACACTTATCATCTTCACCACTTTCTGAGGCAATTATGGAAGTCGTCTTTCTCATGAGTGTCTTTAGTTGCTCCCTTGATGTCCTAAATTGATTCAAAACATTTACCTTTCATTGTCACTTTGACTTTGAGGAAGAGCCAGGAGTGGCAGGATGCCAGATCTGGTGAATAGGGCAGATGAGGATACACCACGTTTTCACAAACCTACCATTCTATTGGATAGCACCTAGCAACAGCATTCTCTGTATTTTTTATCATACCTTAAAAATTTAAAAAATGTTTTAAATTTAAATTTTAAAAAATGTAATGTAAACAGTCACTGTATATTTTGATCACACCTTATAATTTCTTGATCTGCTAGTTTGTTCCCATAGCATTTATCTAGTGTCTGCTGCCTTTTCTAGTGTACTGTAAAAATGAACATCAACAGAAAGTTGTGGCTAGGTGCTCAGAGATAAGCAGACAGAAAGAGATGAAGGAAACACTATATAACCAGTTTTTCGTATCAGCAGAATATTCTTAGTCTGGTAGTTATTTTTAGTTGATAGATGTGTGTTGGTGAATGTAATATGCAAGGTTTGGTTGGGAGGTAGCCCCAGAATAAATTGCATAGCAGTAGTAGTGGTGGTGATCTTCCTGAGAATTAGAAAGTTAACTAATCTACCAGAATGTAGTGAGCATATTTCTATTTGTCAGTTGGATGAAATAGCTCCTTTTTTGCCTGTTAAAGGGAAAGAAGAAAAATGTAATTCTCCTATAATCACTGACCTGCCAGCACTTAAAAGATCCGTACTACTCTGACTCTATCTTGTTTTGGTTTTCAACAGCCAAGCAGGTTGAGTATCTGATCAACGAAAAGCACATCTATCTTCTGCCAAGTGGTCGGATCAACATGTGTGGTTTAACCACCAAAAATCTAGATTATGTGGCTACCTCCATCTATGAGGCAGTCACCAAAATCCAGTGAAGAAACACTGTCCAGTCTACACCACCAAAGTGTTCTGTGTCACATGTGTCCCTGACTGCACAAACCTAGCTGTACATATCATGAATTAGAGTCGACTGGAGGACTACAAAGCTGCACTGGGGAAGTGGTCTCCGATTCACCTGGCCCATGTGAAGAGAACATCCTTGACAAGAATTGGGGGTCAGGGCTTAGAGTCTTTTGGAGGCAAGAGCAAATTAAGGTTTTTATTTAAGAATAAATAATCTTTGATCACAAGACATAGATTCCTTGCTAGAAGCAGGAGTGCTGCCCATGTTGCTCATGGGTTCTGCATGTTGCTTGACTCTGTACAAAGCCTAGTCCAAAGGCCAAGTTGACTGAAGGAACCATTGTGACTGTGGGTGTTGGCTGTGGCATTAAAACTCATCATTTCCACCTTGTCTCCCTGTTCTTTCTGCATGGTTTTGTCCCTTGTGTGAAATTTTAATTCTTTAGGGTGAATGCAATAAGAAATATTTACATCATGATGCACACATGCAGATTTATCTATTTAACTGAAACAAAAGTTTCATGGAATAGTATTTACCCTTGCAATGTGTAGTGCAGTCTGATATTTTCTAGTACATTCTATTTTATTTTGTTCTGTTTCACTAAAAATAATAAAATAAAAATGCTGAACAAGACGCGTGGAATTGATTTTGTAATCTATTAATGGGTTGTGACCCACAATTTAAAGGAATTTACTAGTGGCTGAAAGAAAAATGAAAATGTTGGGGCTGGGGATTTAGCTTAGTGGTTTCACCACCTACTACACAAGCGCAAGGACCCGAGTTCGATCTCCAGTACCAAAAAGAAAAATGAAAATGTTGTCTCAAAATACAACTTCCCTTTGGTAAAATCACTGTACTATCAGTCTGTGTCAGTTTTGTGGGCTTGTTGTTCAGAGGTCAGCAGTCTTACAACACTTACGAAACCAGACTTCATGGACTCGTGGGAGGGACATCACTCAGGGGGATTCAAACCACCAGCCCCTCCCATTGTATTTAGAGTACCTCCTGGTCTGATGGAACAATTACAGCCATTTAAATATAAATAAAAAATATATATAGAGATCACAATTTGCAGTGTCGTGGGGACTCTCCAAATAGTAGTTTTATAGATTTGGTGAGGTTGGGTTTTACTTAAAAGGAGAAGGTCACTACTAGAGATTTAAAAATATTTAAAAGTTATTTTTCGGCATTTTAACAGGATCTGCTCAATTCTAGGACTCCTTTGAGTTATATAAAATCAGTCTTAAAGGGTCATTAGGGTCTTAGAAGTCACCAAGGGTAGCCTCTGCTTCCAATGAAACTGTCTTCCATATTGTCTCTGACTTATCATTTTCAACTGGTATGGTGGTGGTGGACCCTTCTGATAGTTGGTGAGGCATCCTGTTCTACTGATCTTTAGTTAAGATCTGTTACCTTGAGCTGGAATTTAATCTACATTGGTTTTACTCCCCTGGACCCTTCACAGACAGCCAGTAGGTCTACTGGATTTGCAATGGACCTTTCCAATCTATAGAAGTAGCAGTGTTTGTAATTTTCCATGTCAGTCCATTCTATTCATTATTCAGTGTTTGACACAAGATAAGGTTTCCGGATCTTTGATCATTAGGCTGGCACTCACTGTTGGTGTGTGACTAGACTGGTTAGTGTGGATGGAGTAAAAGTGATCAGATGTTCTCCTGCCTTCTGTTCTTATTTCCATTTCATCAACATTTGTTCTTCCAACTTAAAGGTGCTTGTCATTAGTAAGGGAAGGCAGTCAAGACAGAAGTTGAATGAGTCCACCTTCTGTCAGTCTTCTATTATTTTCTAATGTGGCTTTAAACCATCATTCTCCAGGAGGATGACTACCCCCCTCCACAGGAGCAAAACTGGGTTCTTGGGAGGCAAAACAAAAATGAAATAAAATCATTTTTGGCCCTCCAAAGTGTAGTGCTAGCCAACAAAGCCTTAGTATTAAATTTCTTTTTTTGGAGAATTTTTCTCTAGGGGAAGTGCTAAAATAATTAAAAATCAAGAGACACTGTTTTAAACCTATGTGCCATGCCAAAGTGCTAATTTTATTTTTTTTAAGCCTTGGTCTTAATGGAAATTTGGCCTTAATTCCATTCTTATATGTATTTTGGTCAGTGTGACACCCCATCGTGTCTAGGGCTCTGTGTAAGTTTGGGGAAAACTGCAGGACTTCTCAAGGCCCCTGCTATCCACCTGTGCAATGTGTGCACTGTGGATTTAAGATATAAGACTGCACATTTTGCCTGTTCAAGAGCAGGGCACTCAAGACCTCCAGGCTCTGCCAGTTCCTGCCTGAGTAGCCTTAAATAAGTCACTGAACCTTTTAAACATTAATGCCTCCTTGACAGGATGTTTGGGACAGAAATAAGCTAATGAGCCTGTAGCAAAATAGTTGTTGCTATAATTTACTATTATTCTTAATGAAATGAATAACCTCCACTGAGGATCTTGGGATGCATCTTAAATAGTCCTGGCATAGCCCACTAATTGTCCTGCTTGCTGTTTGTGAAACTAGTTTCAGATTCAAACTTTCCTTCTGCAAAGATACTCAGAGCTCAAATACATCTTCCCATCTGGCTTTTCCTGCCTATCTGTGTCAGTTTACAGGTGACCAGTAGACCTGGTCCAATCTGTTGTTCCTTCCCCAGCCTTTCATTGGAAACTGTTAAGACTGTGCCACTTTGACTCCTTTCCAAAGGGTCTGCAGAAATGAGTCAGAGTGAGCAGCATGTAGTCTCTTGTCTGGGTCTGGCTTCTGAAGACCTTGAACTTGGGAAACTCCCAGCACAGTGCCTCACCGTCACATGTTCAACAAATGCAAGCCCTGTTCATTATCCTCTTAGTGTTGCTCCCCTTTCTCCATTTGCATTCCTGCTTCCTGTGTTTTATTTCCTATTTCTGGCATTCACTCCTGCAAAATCCGACTCATCTGGCCTCCCACAGTACAGTGCCAGAGCTTTCTCTAACCTTCCTTAGCCTCACACCTGCTGTGAGAGGTTTGCCTTTTCAGGCAGGAGAGCCATAGGTGAGAGCTACTTATGTGCACCATCCAACCTGCATCTCAGATAGAACTCCCAATTCCTGGGGCAAGGCAAACAGCCACATTCCAGTAAAGGCATTTTCATTTTATTTAAAAATTATTCACAACTGACCCTTCATAAATGCTTTATCTTAAAAGCCTTTTAGTTTAAACCTGAAGAAACTGTGGATAGGGAGCTAGGAAGAGGAGTGGTGACAGGCTCCTTAGGGGTTTTGCAAAGGGGTGGATGTAATGCAAGAGTAGTGGTCCGAGCCTGGTGGCCTAAAGGATAATGAAAGGGTGCCTTGCCAGGCAGGCCCTTTTGGGTCAATGGCCAGCTGGGCTAGGAGACTGCAGGATGGCAATATGTGCTCAAAACTCACCATTTACTCTTCTGGGTCCAAGATGCTCAGCACTGAAAGCTGACACTGTTCCTACCAGGGAAGAGCATGTGGGGAGGGGGTAGCTATAGGGTTATCTACAAGAACACATGCATGGCTGCGCCTCAGGCCAGGTCAGGCCAGGCAAGGGGTGTGTCAAAGTCAGTAATACATTACTGAAAAAGATATCTCTAGCTCCAAGTCTTTACTCCCACATGCTGTGGCCCTCCTGTCTTCAACACCTGTTCTGGTTTGGTGGGGCAGGGGGCCAAAATTATGTGATGGGCAGGATGCACAATATCAAAGGTGTGCCAAGAATTTCTGAAGACTCTTGCTTCTGATGGGTGCCACCCTTCCCCACTGACTGGGAGAAACTTGAGAAGATCACTTAGAATTTAAAATCTGTCTCAAAATGACCAGTATTCACCTTGCATTGCAAAAATACTGGACTGAAATTTCCATTACTGAAAATAGTGGTTATTTTAACCCTTTGTGGGTCAGAGAACTTTAAGAATCTTAGGAAAGCTTTAACTCTGGAAAACACACACAAAAACATACACTAAATTCAGACAGCTTTAAGGGTTTTATAGACCCTCTGAAGTCCAACTATGGACCTTCTGGGGTGATAGACCCCAAGTTAAGGACCCCTGAGTTAAAGGTTCCTATGGGTAAGCATTTTCCTTTGAGATGCAAATAACCCAGAGGAATTATCAGTCTCTCCCCTGCCCCATGTGATTAATTGAGTGGGTGAGGGGAGGGAGCTAGCCTTTTGAAGGAAGAGGAGGGAAACTTGCATTGTATACCACAGGGAAAAGTTTGGAAATGGTTTGAAGATTCATCTGGCACCACTGTATCACTGGGTACTGACCATAGGGTACCCAAAGCGTGGGAGACAGATCAGAAAGGCAGACAGGTTTTCCGAAGACAAACCACTCTTTCAAATTTTCCCTAAGGCTTGCTATGGTTTCTGATCAGAACTGAACAGTTCCTCAAAGTAGGTGCTGTACTGTATGTGCAGTCGTTCTGCCATCTTGTGGTTATTCTTAGAATTGCACCTGCCCCAACACGCCGGAGAAAAACCAGCGATCAGTAAGTTCTGGGACTAAAGTACACTTAGCTGACCTGCTGGGGTAGAGTAAGAGGTCAGGGAAATAGATGAAAAATAATGGTGATTCTTCAACATTCCTGTATAATGTACACTGAAGTCCTCATGTATCCTTTTTGGCAGAGCTGGGCACTCTTTGGTTTGTCATGGCTAAACTCACTTTCACAGCTTAAGTTTTTTTTTCTTTGATATGCACTTAAAACCTGAAGTTCCATCTTTGGCTCCCAACTGGGTCTCTTTGCTCCCTACTCCTCTTCCAGAGCAGATTTATCGGTCCATTAATGACTATGAATTGGGAGCCAAAACAGATGTGTCCCTGGGAAAATCAATGAGTTGAGGTTCCATCTCGCATTCTTTTCATTCCAGCTGAGGCATACTTCCCCACGCTGCTGAAACTCTTATCTCACAGGAAACCAGTCACTGACAGTCTTCTGTGCTGTAACATCAATCACAGGCCAACACAGCTGAGTCCCATGCTCCAAGGTTCTGGAGGAATTCTTGGTCCACCCCCTGAACTAACCTTTATACCTGTTACTCCAGCCTGCTATGTGCCCATCTGCCAGTTGGCACCTTCTGAACTAAGCTAAGCATAAAATATGGTACAAAGTTATCATTTTTATCTGGAGGAAAGAATGGTGAATTCTAGGACATGGGTCTCCTATAACACAGAAGATCCCAAAGAACAAAGAACATAGTGGTCTCAGAGTGGTATTGTCAGCTTGGGGTTAGCTCTTTTCTAGTCTCAGACTGTGCTAAGGACAAGGCCATTTCTAGCATTTCTGTCAGAGGCACCTTCTTCTGTTATGGCCATGGCAGGGTTCTGAGTCAAACTGGAGGCAACAAGGGAAAATCTGCCAAACTGACAGCTAGGGTTGCAAAGGTAGAAAGGAAGGCAGAATGCTGTGTCACCCATGGGAGGCCTTGGGGGCAAGCAGACGATGGGAGGGCAGATCCTTCCCCAAAGCCCTGGATCTCACACACTCGTGAATGCTGTCTTTGCTTGTCATGTGATCAGAGGTGTTAAATTGGAGTTTTCTTCAGAGGTTCTCTCTCCATCTGCTGACTTCTTCCTTTTTCGACCACCTGCAAAACACAGTTTGTATCAATCTGTAGGACTCAGAGGACATTCATACCCTCTCAGTGGTCTGAGCTTTCTTCAAAAAAGAAGCAGAAATGGAGACAAAGCCCTTGGCAGTTTGACTGGAACTCATATGCATTGTATCCTGGTGCTGCTATCAGTAGAGTTAACATCTGGAAGGAGTAGGATGCACCTTTTGCATAATGTGACATCTCTGAAAAGGCACAAATGTACGTTAGTGCCTGCCACAGAAACTTCCTGGAGGGAGCTGAATAAAACCCTGTAATGCCTTAGGATTACGCCTTCCTTCCCCTGACAGCCCCAGCCTTACTCAAAGCAAGAAACCATCTGAGTGAGGAGAACTAGTCATTGATGTCCCACAAGCCAGGGTTGGTAGGCAGAGCTGGGAGCCACTCCCAGGGACTCTAGCTCTGAAACAACCTCCCTCTGCATTGAGGCAGGTGGGAGTAGTTAGATAATTGTCCTCAAGGATGGAAGAGCCATCTGTCTCTAGCTCTGTTATTAGGAAGAAATATTTTCACCTTATTCTCTGCCACTGGCTTCCATCTATGGAGGACTTCTATGAAGTCTCCTGGACACACACACACACAATTTTTAAAGGACTAGATAGTAAATATCACGGGTTTTACAGGCCATATGGTCTCTATCACAACTACTTGACCTTGCCACTGTACTCACAGATAACAAATGAATTGGTGATCCAGTAAGTCTTTATAAAATAGGTGGAAGGAGGTCACAATTTGATCCATGAACATGGTCTACAGACTCCTGTCCTAGAGAATCATATGCATGGGGAGGATCCCCACACTATCAAGGGTACAGCATTGGCCTAAGCCTTATTGTGTATTTACACCACTGTACCTCATTAGGGTTCCCAAAAGGAGTCAGTGTTTCCTACTCAGGGAAAAAGATCCTAATGTGCTTTCCCTGTGTTATGGCTTGTGTCTTGATGTCCCCCCAAAGCCTCATGTGGTCATAGATGGGGCTTTTATTTCAAAGGTGGCTGGATGTAAGAGTGTGTGACGCTGGAACTGATTCATGGTGCAGTGCTAGGCTCAAGGGTACTAGAATTAAGGGTATGAGTGCTATTCACCCTAAGTAGTCTGGAGAAGATAAAAGGGGCAGAAAGATGCTATTAAGGTCTCTTGTTGCTTTGCTACCTTCAGTCTGCCATAGCTGTTGCCCCTCTGTCATGTGCCACCCTGCCTTGGAGCCAGCCAATTATGGACTCAAATCTCTACAAACTGAGCCAAATAAACCTTTTCTCCTTTATCTTTGAGAGTCAAGTATTTTGTCTCAGAGATGAGAAAAGTAACTGAAACACCCTACTAATCACCAGGGTGGCTTACGTCTGGGTGAGGAGTTACTCACTCAAGGTTCTCAGCAGGTTCTTGCCCATGGATTGCTCAAAGTCACTGCTGCAAGGACTGGTCTCTGTGTCCAGGGTGATATTACAACATTCATTATCTGATGCTGAGAAAAAGGAGAATGAACTTAAGTCTTTTCAACCTCCATGTCCAGGGATGAAGGCAGGATATTCCGGGTGATGTCCTCAGCAGGTGAAAGTTCAAGGCAAAGAGCCAAGATAGGGTGAGTGTGACAAGGGAGGGATCGCCAGGAGGGTGTTGGGTCTGTTAGCAAGAGGCATTTTAGGGCCACAAAAGGAACAATGAGTCAAGAGAAGAAAAGCAGGAATCCATTAGTCCATGCAAAGTCACAAATAATTTCCTCTCCTCAAACACTGGTAAGAGGGGAAGAGAACATTATGTTCGCCTCCCTGTATCTTTGCCAGATAAAAAGCACATTCTACAACAGGTGGTGGCATCTCCATATCCTTTCTCTAATTGCACAAACCTTGGAAAAAGGGAGGGATCAGTAATAATTGAGCACATTGCAGGGCTCAGTAACAGTCAGGACCCAATGGGGATTCAGAGAGCCAGGAAGGGGCCCAAGGCCCATCACCAACACAGTAAGAACTTAACTGGGAAGGCGGAATGGTGTGTTGGAAGCTGCACTGCACTAAATGAGGTCTGGCCTGCTTCTTTCTAATGCATATCTGAACATGAGCAAAGCATTTCCCTTCTCCCAAGCTTCACGGGTTCTTGTGTGTCACAGGAGCGGAGTGGAATACAAAGACTGCTCCTTCACCTCAATTCTTATTTCTTTCCTACATTTTCTAGCCTTACATTTTCTATGGCTTAGCTATTAAATTTGATATTGGATGGGGGGAAAAGAACATCAGTCCTAAATTTAGGTCCTGGACTGATGACTACATGTGTCCCAGATTTTCTAGGTTAGCTGCATATTCAAATATGTTGTCTCTTAAAGATCTGTGAGCCTATCAAGAAACCAACCAACAAATGCTGGTGGGGCTGTAGGGAAAGAGGAACCCTTCTTCACTGTTGCTGGGAGTGTAGACTGGTGCAACCACTGTGGAAATCAGTGTGGAGATACCTCAAAGAACTAGGGCTAGAGGTCCCATTTGACCCAGCTGTTCCCCTGCTGGGTATCTTCCCAAAAGAATTAAAAGAATCATACGACTGTGGTATATGCCCACCCATGTTCATAGCGGCATAGTTTGTAATAGCTAAAGCTTGGAAACAGCCCAACTGCCCATCAACTGAAGACTGGATAAAGAAAATGTGGTGTTTTTTTTTTTTTTTTTTTTTTAATAAAATGGAGCCATAAAGAATGAGAAACTAGAGACATTTATAGCTAAATGGATGCACATTGAGGCCATACTCTTTTTTTTTTTTGGTAGTGGGGATTGAACTTTGGTCCTTGCACTTGCATGGCAGATGCCGGAACCACTGAGCTAAATCCCCGGCCCCTAGGCCATACTCTTAAGTGAAATAAATAGGACACACATGTGTAAATACCGAAGTTTCTCTGTTGTGAGAAACTGAAAGTGTAAATAAGAACCAAAAGGCATAATAGATAATGTGAAATAGGAAGAAAAGGTCCAAAGGGGAAGGGGAAATGGAAAGGGTAGGGCAAAGGAAAGAAGGGAATGGAATTAATATGAGAAAAGGAAGAAATGGAAACAAAGTCTTTGTACATAGGGAGAGGTGGAGGGGTTGAAGGGAGGGTAGGGGAATGGGGGAAAAAAAATAAGAACCAAAATATATTATGTAAAGGTACAAATTCCCAATAATGAATGTCTTTATATTGTATACCTAAAATGTACCAATAAAATTAATGAATGAAAAAAATCTGCGTGCCTTTTCAGGTCATTGCTGTGGACCTGAAGAGTCTCTTATTATGGATTGGGATAGGCAGAGGAACCACTGGTTTGGAGCATAGGGGAGGGGTGCTAAAAGCTTGGGGAAATACACCTCGGTGAGGCAAGCACAGGGCTCAGGAGCACTGGGACACCGGGGCCTTGGAGCAGCCCCACTGTTAAGGTAGACATGCTCCATGTCTTAAAGGGTGGTGATATGATCTAACCCCTCAGGATACATCCTACATACTACCTTTGCTCTCTGGGTCCCGAAGGAAGGAAGAGCCCTGCCAATAAGGGTGATGGCTGACATCAGTTCCCTAACTTGTAAGGTAGGTCTGATGATAATTACCTAATATTTATAGAGCATGGTACCAAACACTGCAGTGTATGTTATCTCATTTATATTCAAAGGTACTTTATGAGATAGCTACTGCAATTTACATCTATTAAAATAAGAAAACTGAATCTTAGGTTAAGTAACATGCCTGAAATTGCATAGTTCCTAAAGGTAGGAGTTAGGTTCTAAATCAGGGCAGGGTTATACCTCCTAATACTGCACCGTGCAGCTTTCCTGGGAGAATGAATTAGACAGAGCCTGATGCATAGCAGGTGCTGTGAAACTGTCAGTGGGAAGGAGGCGAGAAGACTGACTCAGGGGCTGGGGTCCCGGGGCTCCCCTTACCCACCGGTGCGCTGTAGTACCCGAAGGTGGTAACCCTCCCTTGCTCCTTGGGCCCCTACCTGCTGTTGTGGGAACAGCCGCAGGGGACCTTGAGAGTTGCTGTGTCTTGTGCTCCTTGAAGTCGGTCATTTCTTCCTGGGTGAAGGCTATGTCCTCCATCCTCAGATATAACACCTCCGCAGGGCTTCTCAGACCATCTGAATGGCTGCCTGGGGGGTGGGACAGTGCCCATATCACCTCTCTGCCTTGGAGGAAGACATTTGGGGCTCTGTGCGGCACCAGATGGCAGCCCTGGGCACGGCTGGGGAGGAAGGCAGGACCATCCTCATCCCATGCCGCCCATCCCATCCACCCACTGACTTACATGGCAGGCTGGTCCTATTGTTCAGCAGCATGAGGGCAGCATCATCCTTGGGCGTCTGGGGTGTGCCCCGAGTTGTGGGAGCCTTGGTGGAGTCACCATCAGTGAAGGCCTCCATGTCAGGGGACTGGGGTGAGCTGTCCATATGGCAGGCGGTGAGTGCATTCTGGTATTGCTGTCGTGTGACCTGGAAGGAAGTGGGCAGCTCAGCAGAGCTAGATGGAGCCCTCTCTGGATGTAGTAGCTTTTCTGAGCTGACAAGCAGCCTCCCCTGAGGTGCTTTGGAACCCTGGGCTCTAAGGCCTGAGATCTATGAGCTGGGGGTCTTACCAAGCTCAGCAGCTGAGAAACAATTTGAGTCCCTTTGCCTGTTGGTCACCAGTTGCCACTGTTCATTTTTATTAACTGTAGACTTCATGTGCAACTGGAGGAGCCTGTCTGAGTCCATTTTGTGTTACTATAACAAAATAAACCTACTTTGTTCTTTTTTTTTTTGGTACCGGGGATTGAACTCAGGTCCTTGGGCTTGCAAGGCAGGCACTGGAACCACTGAGCTAAATCCCCAGCCCCAAATAAACCTACTTTGTAAAGGAAAGAAGTTTATTTGGCTCAAGAGACTGGTGGCTAAAAAGTGCAAATAGACCTTGTATCTGATGAGGGCTCCCTGGCTATGTCACAACATGGCAGAGAAGCAGAAAGGGAAATGGTCAAGTTCAGAAGGAGCTAAGCACATAGGTGGTCTTGCTTTATAACGACCTGCTCTCAAAAGAACTAATCCAGTCCTGGAAGAACTACGTTAATCCTTTCCAAGGGTAATGCCTTCATGACTGAATCACGTTCTACTAGGCCCTACTTCTTTTTTTTTTTGGTACCAGGGATCGAACTCTGGTCCTTGTGCTTGCACAGCAGGCAGCGAAACCACTAAGCTAAATCCCAGGCCCAACTAGGCCCTACTTCTTAAAGGCCCATCTCCTCCTCTCACTAATGTTACACTAATGTTACTAATTTCCCACACATGAACCTCTGGGGGACCTACTCAAACCATATCCAAATCATAGCACACAGATGACATAAAACAGTCCTATATTAGTGATTCTCAGTACTCAACATCAGAATTACCTGAAGGGCTTATTAAAATAAGATTGCTGGTCCAAACTTCCAAAATTTCCTAATTTACTAGATTTGGGGTAGAAACAGGATTTGCGTTTCTATCAAGTTCCACGTAATGCTAATGCTGCTGCTCTGTAGATTTTACTTTGAGAACCACTGACTCTCTGAAACCTAGTTAAAAATCAGACAGAGGTCCCATTGAGGTTTTTGTTCTTTCTCTCTAAAGGATTTTAAAGGACAAAGGAGAATGTCAACAACTGGCTTTGATATTTTTTAGGTCAATTATATGATCTATGGTTAATGGCATGGAACCATGGGTCTCAACTTAGCATTTGTCCAAAGTCTTTAAATGTTCTTGTGGAGAATATCTGATTTTTGCAGTGCCCCTGTATTGGGAACTATGAAGTCAGGTTCCAAAATTTTCCCCCGAAATGGAGAAATTTAGCCATAGCACTAAAAGAAAAGAAAATTTCTTAAATGTCACATGGTAAGCCCAACAAAGCAGTAGCTTTTATAGTAGCTGTGTTCTTTAAAATGGTTTTAGATTTGTCTTCTAGTTTAGTAAAAGAAGGCCAAATGATCCTTCATTTAGAAAATATGGCAAGAAACACACTGCCTGCTCAAGACCAACGTGCAAGTCCTGGTTTTGCCACTTTTAAGCTGAGTGATCGTGGCCAAATCATTAACCTCTCTGAGCTTGTAAAAGAGGCCCAGAGATAAGACAATGCACGTGAATATGTTATACAACTGTTAGTGATGACTGGTTTAAAATATGTCCACAGACGGGCCTCACAATTTGACTTTACAGTGGACATACATGTAAAAGATGGGTTCAATTTTCTATATTAACTCTAAGTTGTCTATGGCATAACATGAGGTGGGGTTGGGGGCTATATCCCTTCTGTCCCTAAAGCCAGGGTGACTGGTGGCAGTGTGACTGGTTACTCTGTGAAGGCAGGAGTAGGTCTCAGGAAAGTAAATTCTTAGCCAAGAAAATATAGTTAAAGAGGGGGAAGAAAGGAGATGCCAAGTAGGGGCAATGGGAAAAGAAGATGGGGAGGAAAATAGACAGTGAATGAATGAGTGAAGAAAAGGGGGGGAAAGAAAAGGAAGGAGATTTGGTTTGAGTTTGAAATGGATCTGCTGGCTTAGGGCTCCTCTTGGTTGGCAGATTGGCTGTGCCTCCCAATCTAGAAGCCTCTTGGGAGTGACAACTGTTAACAAGATGTTCTTTTAATGTCTTTATTTTTGGAAAGGTTTTACCCAAATTGTGTCTGCAGTGAACTGTACCATTCTCTCCTTGTTCTTAGGACACAGTGATAGACCCGTCCATTATTATTATCTGGATCCAGGGATCCAAGAACTCAAACCCTTTCTTTCAGGATTGTTATGGAGGAAAGAAAGAGCTGGGAATGAGGAATTACTTCTGGTAGCAATACTAAAATGGAATGGCCACCTGATAAGGGACTGAGTTCACTATCACGGAGGCATTCACACAGACGTTAAATCATCACTTGTCAGGCATACTAAAGAGAAGACGGAGACAGCAACAGCTAGGATCTAACATAAGGGTAAGATGCATGGCAGTATGTGTGTGGGAATGGGTTGCGGGAGAGTCTGCACTGTTTGTGGCTGTATGATAGGAAAGGCCCACTCTTTGGTTACTTTCCCTATGTGTCTCACAGCCTTCCTTTCACATTATTCTCTTTTAATTTTTTTAAATCATAAACTACTGCTATGCCAATAAACTGTGGATGAAGTACCACTTCGGAAAATATACTCAGGGGCACAACCTCTGCTCTGCTTCTCTGAGCTGTATTTCTAGGTTCACGGGTTATTTCTTGTCAGTTCCTTCCCCGTGTTCAGCAGCTATGACAATTTTTTAAAACTAAAAATGAACATATATTTCAGAAAAACATAAAAGAAAAACAATAAAAGTTAATGTATTATGCCATTATATATCTAATATCTTTAAATGGTTCCTATATTCTAGAAATTCAGTTAGTAATCACTATTTATTTAATCTATAAACACTTTCTAGAGATAAATATTCTATAAAATATTTTACACCCAATAAAACTGAGATACAGAGCATTTTATAATTTATAAGTAGCTTATCAATCATAAAGCTAATAAAAACTAAATTCATCTGATTTCAAACCTAAGCTCATAAACTCCATCTTACTTTTGGTTACTTATATTTTTAATACATGTTAAGTGAAGTAGAATATTTCTACTGCACTTCTAGATATCACGAATCACTGAAGAAAAATTATTGTTGAAGAAAAAAATTCTGGAACAATGATAGTACACAAAATCATATTTCACTAACCAAACACATAGTTTCAGAATCTGAACATGTTAAAGAATTAAATGAAAAAATAGAGAATTAAATGCATAAATAAAACTATCAACTAACAACGTAAAGACTAAAAACATTAAGAAAGCAAATAAGAGATAATTTATCAACTAAAAATAGAGAAATAATTTTCTTTTTTATTATTAGTGCATGTTGGTAATACAGAATAGTGAGGTTCATTTTGGCAAAATGATACATGCATCTAACATATCTTGATCTCTTTCTATCCCATTACCCACTCTTCCCTTCCTCACTTTCCCTTCCTCACTGATCTCTCTCCCCATCTCCAATATCTAACTCCAATTTCCCTGATATGACAACTTCTTCTTCTTTTTTTTTGTACCAGGGATCGAACTCGGGTCCTTGCACTTGCGAGGCAGGCAATGGAACCACTGAATTAAATGCCCGGCCCAACAACTTCTTTTTATCTAGCATGGTATTGTCAAATAGAAATAGAATGTGAGCCATGTAGGTAATTTAAAACGTTTTAGTAGTCACATTCAAAAAAGGAAAGAGAAACAGGTGAAATAATTTTAATAGTACATTCCATCTAACTCAATATATCCAAAATAATTTCACTGCAACATGCAATCAATATTTATCCTCAAAATTATTGAGGAATTTTATATTAAAGCTTTGAAATCCATCACATATTTTATACTTATAGCATATCAGTCTGGATGAGCTCCATTTTTCTACTGTATTACAGGGCAGCAAAGGTCCAGAAGGTCTTCTGCAGACTTAAGCTGCTCTGCTCAGTTTTGAGCTATACCCCTAGCCTTTTAATTTTGAGACAGGATCTCGCTAAGTTGCAATTTAGGGATTCTGCCACCAGATGGTGATGAGTATCTTGGTCAAGGTTATACAATCCAGATTGTAAGATATCTATCTGCCAAATATTCTTAGTTTAATAATGATATGTACAGTACACATTTAAAAAAAAAGTAGAGATGTTTTTGTATCTTCAGAATTTAACTACCTTTTTTTTTTTTTTGGTGCTAGGGTTCAAACCCATGGCTCTGCAGCTTCTTAACTACTCTTAATCATGACTTGTTTATACCTCTCCCAGACAATCATTAGATGCACCTCCCTATCTAATTTTGTAACATATCTTGAAAACAAATTACTCTTGGACGTTAACACTTTTGGAGCTTCAGTTTGTTGGACATGAACAGTCCTTGAGAAACCAGCAGGAGGGGGTTAGGCTTCTGAAAACACTTTTCCACACAGTCTTGTCTTTATCATCCTCACAATTCTCCTTGGGTTAAAAGGGGGGTTGGGAAGGTGGTGAGAGAAGTAGATAACACAGCAGCCTAAAAAATGGACTTGACAAATCTATGAAATCAGGAGAAGGTAACTTTCAACTTTAGTGTATTGCACAGTCTTATGAGAAAACCAAACTAAAACAAACATTTTGGTTAAAACAGGAGCATCAACTCACCAAGTCCCTTGGCAGGACTACCCATTATAATCAAAGATTTAAGGGACTGAAACCACAGGTTAAAAGAAGTTTTTGAATAATCCTTTAATTGGTTAGTCTTCTCAGTATCAAAACATCTGGGTGGAAAAAATGAGCATGTTCTGTACTGGCTGGTGGCTCTGAGCAAGGTCCTTTAATCTGAGAAAGGGACAGACACCTGCTCCTTAGAATGGACCTTGTATTTGAGGTTCTCAACACTGCCTCTGTCCTTCATCAGGGAAGACACTGTCCTTCTATGTGTCTTGTTATTTGCAGACCATTCCTTTTCCCCGTGTCCCAGGGGTGGAGATATGAAATGATTTGTGTTAGGAAAATTCTTAGAAGTTTCCCGCTAAGTATTTGTCTTAGCACATTCCTCTTTGAGGAGCTGCCCATTCCATCTCATAAAAGTACTCACCAATCTATGCAAGTCTAATAATGTTTCCAAAAACTCTGGGGTCATTAAACCCTAAGAATTTCATTCACTTTTCCCTACATAGCAGCAAATCCAGTCTTCACATTGATTTTCTGAACTTATAAATGGTATTATGGACTGAATGCCTCCCCTCAAAATCTCTATGTTGAAACCTAATCCCCAGTGTGAGGATATGTGCCCGTGGGGCCTTTGGGAGGCGATGAGATCTGAGGGTGGAGCATCATGGATGGAATGAGTGCTTTTATAAGAAAAGGACATACTTCCTTTCTCTCCTCTCCTCCACATGAGGGCACAATGAAAAGGACATCTGCAAACCAGGAACTAGGCCCTTACCAGACACTGGATCTGCTAGCACTCTGATCTTGAACTTCCCAGCCTCCAGACTGTGAGAACTAAGAGCTTGTTGTTTCAGCCACTCAGCCTATGGTAATTTGTTACAACAGCCCAAATGAAAAGACCTGAGAAATGAACTTAACAAAAATTCCCAATGCACTTGAAATAGAATCCAAATTCCATACTCTGGCCTAAAAACCCCATATGGTACTCTCTGATGCTCCCTTCCCAGCGCACACCAGCCCCTGCCTTTGCTCATTATGGGCTAGCTCCCAGATCCTTGACCTATCATCTGTTTCTTTCTAGAACATTCTCCCCACCTCCCATTTCATGTTTCAGCAAAAGTGTCCTTTTCTCAGGCTCCTCTGATAGACATTTCAAAGGCAGTCTCCTGGCCTCCTCAATCCAATCACTCTTTATCCCATGGCCCTGTTTATCCCAAGGCTCTTATCACTACTTGGACATATCTAGATAATTTATGTCTTTACTTGTTGTCATCTTTTCCCCCTGTCAAGTAAGCTCTAGAAAGGCAGCAGCTTGCTGCCTTCACCCCAGTATCTTGTCAGTGGAATCACACGCATATTATGACCCCTCCACCCTGCCCCAATCATGTGCAATACTACAAACCACTAAGATTTAGCACAGAAGAGTTTCCCTTCTCCTGTTTTTCTCTCCCTCTACTTCTGAGGAAAATCAGGATTAGGATGAAAGGGCTTCCAGGCTGAAAGCCACAAGAAGAGTCAGGAGCTGTGGCTTTCTAAGGCTGAACCTCCCTGTCGTGTTAGACTTGTCAAATGTCCAGTTACACAACCCTGTGAGTAAGGCTTGGTCAGTCCTTAGTAACTTCTCCCTCGCTCTGATTTCCTACAACTATTCCCAAAGCCTGGTGATTTCAGGGCTTGAGCTCTGGAGGCAGGCAGACTCAACCCTGAAGCTTGACTCCACCACTTACTAGCCATGCAATTTTTACCTCCTCAAGCCTCAACCTCTTTATTGGAACAATGGGAACACAGGATGGCAAGAGAATAAATGGATAATGCAAACAAAGGATGCAGTAAAGTTCCTTGCCCAGAGCACTCCCACACAATAGTTATTTTCTAACTTACCCTCCAGGTTCTGTCTCTCCTGGTAGTAATTTTCCATGGTTAATTCTTTCCATGGTTACTTTTATCAACTGACATTAGTTTTAGCTCAAGATGTTTGTAGAGTACTGGGACAGAAAGCCCGCACTCCCCACTCCAAATCATCAGGGCGTGTACTCTGGACAGAAAGGAAGCACCTTCTCCCACCTGTGTGACCTCAGTACATCTCTTGTCACCCAGCCTGCAACCAGGACGACAGTTAGCAATTGCACTCTGTGGGTATTTCATTGGACTGGGACACATGAGCTCTAGCCAAGATTTCAGGCCAAAGTTTGTTATGGTTTGCTGAATGCTAGGAAACAAAACAAATAAAATAATAGTGGAGTGAGAGAAAAGAGAAAAATTTTAAAGGCTTCTGTGCAATGCCAATCCCAATGAAAGCTGTGAAGAAACAGCTCCCCGCATCTTTCAACTGCAAGGTAAGGGCAGGGCTGCCTCTCCTTTTTAGAGTGGTTCTCTTAATAGCTCAATGGCCTGACATTAAGGGAGTGTTAAGATTTTCTACACAAGACTTTCAATTAGTACAAGGGCCCACTTGTGCTTTAGACTTTAAATATTAAGGTGCAAAATTATACTATTAGGCATATAAATACTATTGTAAAATCACAGTGTGGTTTCTTCTGTACACTTGGTTTCTTAATCACCTGCAAATTGATCTTGAAAAAAATGAATAAAATCCACCCATTCCAGTACCTTTCCCAATGGTAGGGGATTAAAGGAAATAGTTCTGATAGAAATGTGTCACAGACAAAGTAATTTCCCACTGCTTTCTGCCTCAGTTTCTCACATGAAAAACAGAGATCAAGACACCTTGACAACTACTAAATAATAATAAAGTTTACTGAAACAACAGGGCCTTTATGAGGCCAAGGAACAGTGACTACCCAGCATTACACTGGAACATGGGGGAAGGTGATGTATGATATGACTAGGGATAAGGGTCTCCTGGGCCAGCTTCCCCAGCTAACTCTGCCCACTGGAGAGAGGAGGGGTCGCACTCCCGGGGCAATTACCTTCACAAACTGCACATCACTGAGGATGTGGACTGAGTAGTCAGGTGTGTAGAGGTTGTTGCTGCTGCTGTACAGTTGGGTGTTGCTCCCACCAAAGTCACTGCGCTCTCTATTCGGAGACTCAGAGCGATTCAACCCGCTGCAGCGAGAAGGGGATCGGTTTACTGCAGATGGTGAGGAAGAGGAGAGAGAGAAAAGACAAGGAGGAGCAGAAAAGACAAGCAGGAGTGGGTAGGGAGAACAGGGAGTGGAAGGAGGGAGAAAGAGAAAGGTGCTGTTTACTGAGGTCCAACAGTGCTAGCAGGATATTGTAGCACTGGGTGGTGGAAAGGGGCCTTCACCTTCCCATCAGAGTCCAGCAAGGGGCCCAGCTGTTTTGTTGGGGTTGATTCCCTTGAGGCATAAATATCCCTCCCTGTGGTCTCTCCCAGCAGGGGGCTTGGGCATTTGTTTCCCCCTAGACAGCAGCAGAGGTGGTCCACTGCCTTTATTGCTTTTTATCCAGAGATTAAGTGCAAGAGGACCTCAAATGCATGAATACAGTGCCGTGGGAATGGTTTGCTATGCCAGAATATAAAACCTCTCACTAGGGTGACATAGTCTACCTGTAGCAAGTCCTGTTTTAGAAAGACCAAGGCCTTAGGTTTGCCCTCAAAACATCTGTCCCAGCACAGACAACCAATCTTCACCAAGGTGATGTGTTTTAGTGGGGTTAATTCAGGCCCACCCAAACACTGGCAGAGCGTGGGACAAGTGTACAAACAAGAGATTCACAAATTGTATAGATACTTGCAAATTGTAAATCACATTAATAAACTGTTAACATGTTTTATTCTTGTCATTGACAAATGTTTACAGCAATCTGAAAGACCAGTTTGACCCCTTAGAGTTCTGTGCTAGAAAACTGGGTTGTGTGGGGCCAGCCAGTCCCCTGCCCTAAGGTTTCTGGATCTGCTATCTCGAAGAACTGTTTGAGTGGTAATTCCAGTATCCTGGGTATCTGAAATAAGATTGAGCAAGAAGAATAGGGGAGTTGGGTGGGCACATACCCCTGGCTCTGTGAACTCCTTGACTCACTTTCAGGGGTAGGACTGAGAAGGGCCAAAGTGGGGTCTCTGAAAGTGTGGGTCAGGGCAGGGCTAGCTCTTGAATAGGTCTAAGTAGGGGCTGAAATAATCCATAGGTTCTTTGCCAAAGATCCAAATGTCTAGTCAGCCTTTTACATTTGAAGGAATAGTCTTTTGGAAAGTTCAATTAAGACTATGTCATTTGGTTTCAAAATAGACTCTGAACTACCATCCCTCGTATCAACAGAAGACAGGGTACTGAAAGTGACCCCAGCATTATCTCTACCATGAAACAGCCCTAGCGAGAGGCTACAGAGCCAACTGAAGCCACTCTGCACTTCTTCCAAAAAAAAGAACACAGGAGAGTGCCAGCCTCTCATAGCCCAGATTAGTTCAGGAGCTCAAAAGAAGAAATAAATTCTTCAAAGATTCTGTTTCTTGCTTTTGTGGAGTAGAACCTTGGGAATTTAATTTTGTCTCTTCAGCTAATGCTGCCATCTATTAAAATATTTGATTAGCACCTATTTGTAGTGAGTTATGGGGGTTGGCAAACACTTTAGCTGCCAAGCTGTTACTGTCTGGCAAACCATGTAACAAAAATATTAAAATAATAATAGGATGAATTATTTTCTCATTAGAATCATAATAATTTCACCTTGATATAATTATAGAATTTAGGATTCAAATTCCATCTTTCCCTTTTCAGTAAATGTCACTCATTTATTTCCTGTTACTTAACCCAGAAACCTGGAGTCACCTTTGAGCCCCCACCCTGTACTGGGCATCGAACTCAGGACCTTGCACTTGCCAGGAAGAAATGGCGCCACTGAGCTACATCCCTGGCATCACCTGTCTCTTTCCACTCCCTCAGCCCCACGTTAAGTTCTACCTCCAGCACAATATGCCCATCTTTTTTAAATCTCTTTCTAATCAAATCCAGTCCCTATCACTTGTACCCAACTGTCTGATTTCTCCATTTATAATTTTATAAAGCAGTCCCCCCTAATCTGTGGTGGTACATTCCAAGACCCTCAGTGATGCCTGAAACCAGGGATAGCATCTAACCCTAAGTATTCTGTTTTTTCTTATATATATGCAGTGTAATAAAAAAATACAGTGAATACTTATATTAAAATTTGGTTACAATAAGATAAATTTCTGTTAATTCCTCCTCCTATTACTTCCTCTTGTTTTGAATGGACTTATCCTATCATTCTGGGCACTTTCTGAAGGAGTTCTGTAAGTCCTTTTTTGGGTGTATGTTTAGTTGCTCTGTTGTGCCTGTTTTACTGTCCTAAGTCAATTAAAAATGTTTTTCTTTTATGGTCTTTTTGACTTTGGGGAAGAGCCTGAGATTGCATGATGCCAGATCCAGTAAATAAGGTGGATGAGGGCACACTATAATGTTTTTATTTGACAGAAATTGCTGTAAACAGTTTATCAATAAGACATGATAAAAATATGATATTAAAATTAAAAATTTATTACTGTAAAGATGCATTGCCATCAAACTCTTAAGATACTCTCTCTTGCTTTCAACACATCTATCCTATTACTCTTGACAGTGGGTCTCCTCTTATAGTAATAAGTTTTAAAAAGTTTAAACATTCATACTATCTTTTGATCATCTCTTATAATATTCATGATAGTTTAATTTACAAATTAGACACAATGAAACACTAACAATATTTATCTCAATTAACTAACAAGAACTGTAACAATATATTGAAATAAAAATTATTTAAAACTTACACATTGTTTATTTATGGAATTTTCCATTCAATATTTATAGACCGTAGTTAAACATGGGTATCTAAAATCATGGAAAGTGAAAATGTGGATAAAGGGAGATCCTATAGTCTATTTTAGCTTTACCTTCCAGAATCACATTTTAAAACATCAATTAGCTTCTTATTATACCTGATTAAATCCAAACCCCTTGCTGTGGCCCTGAAACTCTCATGACCTGGCCCCTGCTTTCCTTCCTGCCTGTCTCTGGGGCCTCCCTTCCCCTTGCCTACTCTGCTTGCTTCTCAGTCCTTGCCTCTCTCCAGAAGTACAAACTTCTGACCACCCTAAAAAGATTCCCTCTGTTTTCCTCTATCACTGCCTTTATTCATTCCTTCAAAGCACTTTTCCAAAGTATTAATTACATGTTTGTACTTGCTTATTAGGTTTGCTCAACCCTAAGTTCCATGAAGGCAGAGACCTTATCTTTTTTGGTCATTATTAATGTATATATACACAGTGCTTAGCACAGTGCCTGACTTAGAGTAGGTATTCAATATAAATGTAGAGAGTGACGAATTTGTACTGAAGGGTCCCTTTGAGGGGGTATTTAGAATCTGAACGTTATTTAAGAAAAGATTTTAGAGCTCTCAAATTGTACTGAAAGGGCTGGGAATGTAGCTCAGTGGTGCAGCACTTGCCTGGCAAGCATGAGGCCCTGAGTTTGATTCCTGGTACCAAAACAAAACAAAATAAAACAAAAAAACTGTACTGAAGTCAGAAAGCCAATTTCTCCAAGAAGCTAGTAGTGGGAGGACAACAGAAATGGAGGTGGATAGAGTTAAATATTGCATACCCAGAATCCAAAGAGCCTCAGTCAGGCCTTGGCCCAGCCAGTGAGGGAGAGCCTACAGGGAGCACCACGATTCTGTCAGTCTGTTTAATAAGAGCATGTGAAGCAGGGCTGGGGTATGTCCTGGAGTCAGATGCCCAGGGTGATGGAAGACTAAAAGGGGCAGTGCCAGTGCCACAGAGCATACAACAATGCATCAAGCTGATTATAAATGGTAACAGTATTGGGCAAAAAAGTAAATTTCAGTCCTTGTCCTGGTCCCTTGAAAACAGACTGATGAGCTCTGGCTTGGGTAGCCCTTTGGTGGCTGTCCAGAGAGGCCGCTGGCTGAAATAGCCAGTGTTTTCTCCTCTTTGCTAGTTGTTGAGGCAGTAGGCTGGTAGTCTTGCAGAAGAGAAGCCTCTTTGGCATGAGAGTAGAGCCTGGAAAACTGTACCTTTCTTGGGTGGGTCTCAGACTCAACTCAGTTTGGACATAACCAAGGGGAGAAGATGTGAGCAGGGCCTGTGGCTTCAGTCGCCTTGAGAAAGCACCATCATGCCTTGAGGATTCTCGGCTTTGCCTGGGTGGACATGGGGTTCATATAGCCCACACTTGTTGTTCCATATCCATATCCCTTATGTTACAATCCAACATACATTTAGGGAAGATGAGAGGGATCTAGATTCTTCCAATCCACAGAAGTTTCTGCCTAAATCACTTCTACTTCTTGTTGGAAACAGACAACTACACTCCAGTTCCTCACAAAGCTCTCATCATCTCAAAGGCACCCAGCACAGAAGTCACTATGTCACACAGAGGGTCTCACATGTCAGACACAAGCTACATTACTGTTGTGCTGGAAGGAGAAACATGTCTCTTTTGTTTGTGTTATTTTTAAGTCAATATGCTATTGAAGGTTTATTCATGAAATCTCAAAGAACTTCCAACACCAAAATTACAACTGTTTTACAAAGTTTCGGCCTATAAAATAATTTTTTTTTAAAGAAAGAAGAAGCCTCATTTCAGGACAAAGAAAGTTCTGCTTCATCTGAGTGTTGTGCAAGATCAATGTTCTTGTGTCCCAGAGCCTGACATTCCTCAATAGGTAGGATGCTGATGACTCAGCATTTTAGTAATTATGTACATACATTCAGAGATTTCTGAGCAAGGCAAATGGAAATAGAAATGCTTTTAATAAAAAGGAGAAGAAATCAGTAACAGACGAGTGTCCCAGCAGCATGGCAAACTAGTTCAAGTTGTGTAATTCCCCTTGGCATTTCCTAAAAGCAGAGGCACAGCTTGGGGAAGTAAAGTGACAAAGAAAATCGAAATATAGTGCAAAGAGTTCTGAAAGGAGATAGATCAAACAGCAATGCATAAAACTGACCATAGGACCTGTCAGTAGGAGGTAGATCAGGCAGCCAACATGTGCCTGGCCCACTCCTGCTCTTACATCAAGTTGGCTGTAGTGTGACTAACTGGTAGGCAGCAGAACTTTCTGGTCTGGACCACCAATTGCTATTGAGGAGTGTGG